ATTCAACACTATAACCATTGTTATTCTAACAACTAGATTCAACACTATAACCATTGTTATTCTAACAACTGGATTGTATAAACAGCGTTCAGACCACTACTGTGTTTGTTGTATCCCAGTCGGCCTGAAGAGATTTGGTATTGATCGAAATGTATCGTCGGCAATGGGTGTGGTGGATATGGTGTGGTAAACCCTAAGAAACCGAATGTAGAATGTAGCGTTTGAAAATAAAATAAGCCGAATACTATATTGTCTTATGACAAACATAACTGATTCTAATCGCTCTTCGCCGACAAAAGGCGTTCACACAATAATTTAGCCAGTTAGTTAGTAGTTAGCGTGCCGGACTGTAGCTCCGAAATTCCTGGCTCACGTCCCCCCCTTTGTTTTTGTTATATACAGCAAAGAAAAAAATTGCGCTCCGCATTTTGGTCGTGTATGCATTACAAGAGTAGCCGTCAAATCCCTCTCTTTGGTTCGGATAAGAGGAGCCCACGAGTTGTTGATGGGTTCTGTTGGCTAGCTGCCCTCCTTGTAGCCTACGCATTCAAAATTAGGTAGGGCTAACGTAGGTAGCCCTTGACTATAGCCTTGCGTGAACTCCAAAAAATAAACAAACAATCGGCTGTCTGTGGTCTCCCCCTCCACAAGTATCGAAATCCGGTTTCTAGCGTTGTAACTTCGCAGACATACCGTTGTGCCACTGGGAGGGGGGCAGGGAAGGCTTAGCTGATATAGATCGTGTCAGTAAAACCAAGCAGAATAACCTAATTGTGATTTAACAAAATAGATTTCAGAAAACAAAGATAAGTAACAATTAATTTCTCTTCATCAAGAAAATAATAGATTGAGTGTAAATTAGTTTCATGCTCTTTGAAAGAGGCTTTTATAACTAATCTTTCTCTCTCTCTCTTTTTGCCTTTTGAAGATGATTGGTGCAAGGAAACAGACGAAAATAAAAAGACACAACTTGCTCGAACCACTACTCGTGATAATGAGCTATGAAAAAAAAAAAGTCGTTAATAGCAATTTTTTGTTGTTGTTAGTTTATTGACGTGTTACACTTCATCGTTCTAATTAAATCTATTTAATAAAATTTGGGAAAATATTGAATGTCAAGCTTTAGAGAGAGTGACGTTTTCGTTTGTATACACGTAGGAAAAGTCTAGAATATTTAAATCTATAAAATATGATATCAGTATGTGAAGAGTAGTACTAATATGATGGATAAGAGTGTTAGCACCAAAATTCCAGACTAAAAAATGCCTCCGCTGAATTACACGTAATATCCAGACTATTGATACATAACCTTTTATATGTTATAGATATTCGTACAGAAGTTTTATACTTATGTATGTTCATACAAGAGCTATTGTACTTTGTTTTAGTTCTATATACCAAGACAGGATGTTTTGTATTTAGATGTAGCAATACAACGAACATTTCTATCTATGAATACAGATAAAGGAACATTTCTATCTATGAATACAGATAAAGGAACATTTCTAATTATGAATACAGATACAGAAACATTTCTATCTATGAACACAGATAAAGGAACATTTCTATCTATGAGTACAGGTACAGGAACATTTCTATCTATGAATACAGATACAGGAACATTTCTAATTATGAATACAGATACAGGAAGATTTCTATCTATGAATACAGATACAGGAACATTTCTATGTATGAATATAGATACAGGAACATTTCTATCTATGAATACAGATACACGAACATTTCTAACTATGAATACAGATACAGGAACATTTCTATCTATGAATACAGATAAAGGAACATTTCTATCTATGAATACAGATACAGGAACATTTCTATCTATGAATACAGATAAAGGAACATTTCTATCTATGAATACAGATACACGAACATTTCTAATTATGAATACAGATACAGGAACATTTCTATCTGTAAATACAGATACAGGAACATTTCTATGTATGAACACAGATACAGGAACGTTTCTATCTATGAATACAGATACACGAACATTTCTATCTATGAATACAGATACAGGAACATTTCTATCTATGAATACAGATAAAGGAACATTTCTATCTATGAATACAAATAAAGGAACATTTCTATCTATGAACACAGATACAGGAACATTTCTATCTATGAATACAGATACAGGAACATTCCTATTTATGAATACAGATAAAGGAAAATTTCTATCTATGAATACAGATACAGGAACATTTCTATCTATGAATACAGATACACGAGCTTTGATACTTGTAATCATGTACACCAAGTCGATTAGTGACGTTAATAGTATGATCAGAGTTATGTGTATGCTTTGATGTGAAACATTAGACAAATTATTTCAGTTTCCAAATATTTCCACTTACTAATTTTTCACACAATTTAGAAGTTGCCTTTGGACATTGTATAATCAGATTATACTAGTATATTTTTGTATTAGCCATCTAGTAATGTTCGTCATAATTCATTTCTCTCTCTGTATGATCTCCCTTAAGCCTCTTGATATTGAAAGTACACACATATTGCCTTTCTGTAGAAACTGGGAAATTATTAAATGCTTAGAGGAATACCATTCCTTTGCTAATTACTTGAGTATCTGCCATTAAGTTAGAGCTATAATAAACAAGGTAGAAAATTAATGTTTCTCAGCTGTGTGATCTATAGGCATACCGTATATTTCACTACCTTCTTGTAGTAACTTAGGAAGTTTTCAAAATTTGTTATTTGTAAGCGGTACGTGCAGTTTTTACATATCATGTTGGCCAAAACGGTCGTTAAGTTCCTTTTGCTCTAGCTACCTATTGTTCTGTGTCATTCACGTAGACTATCCACCTTTTGCTTTCCCATGATAAAAACAGATGCAAGGACACCTGTAGTGTGTGAAGTCAGGCAGTTATCTTATCTACTGGCAGCCAGGTGATATCTTGGAGCAATGACCTCTTCTATGTTTATTGGGAGGTCACAACACACATTATACAGATTTGTGCTTGATAATAAACAAACAAACAAACAAAAATATGTTAGGACAGCTTCAGATCTAACTTCCAAGTGATTGCGATTGTTCATTGTGGCAGGAAAGTACATTTTTCATTGTATTTGTTTTAAACAAAGATTGTTCATTGTGGCAGGAAAGTAC